CTAATTACAAAAAATCAGGAAAAAAAAAAACCAAAACCAAAACGTAAATTAATTTTCTAGTTACTAAAACCAGAAAAATAAAATACAACACAATAACTTTCTAGTTACAAAAACCAGAGAATTATTTTATTAGATTCAAATAAAATAGGTTTATAAACCAAATTTTATTAATACAATGAAGACACAAAAATATTGTCTTAAGATTGTTGGACAATCTTCACTGTATTACGAATAAATTCTGTTTATGTACTCAATAACAAACCGAATGCACAAGAAATAAATTAAAAGAACGAGTTTCCAAAAGCTATTTAATTACACAAACCAAACAGAAAATGGAAATAGAGAAGGAGAGAAGAAAATAAAATAAGAACAAAAAATACTTACAGAAAAAAAAAAAATTTCTTAGAGTGATCATGTCCAGTGTTTGACACTGTCTCCTTAAAATAGATTTGTCCTCTCTCTGGTGTTCATAGAATATAGACATCTATCTCCCAAGATAAAATTATCTTCAATGAATAGTAGCAACACTACAAACTATTCGCACAACAAACACCCTTTGTGTTTATACACTTTCTCAGAAATGAAATGCAGCAAAATGCAGAGAGCAATGTTAGAAAGCAAGAACAAAAATTGAGTATAAAATTCAAATGAGGGACTTGTCTATTTATAGGTGCAATGGTGGCTTTTCAGATTTGAATCTAACGAGTAACAAACTTGTTTGAACAGGTATGGTACCTGTTCGGTACTGTTTGAACAGGTAAGGAACCTGTTTGGTTTGAATTGAACAGATATGGGTTTGAACTAAACAAATAAAAACCTATTCGGACAGGTATGGAATCTGTATTGAAGAGGTGCAAAAAATTTAAATTTTTCCAACCGAATTTTGAATTAAAAACCGATCAGATTTATTTGCTAAAATTTAAAAAAAAAATTCAAATGTTTTTTGCCCAAAAAGAATTAGTATTGGGGCGAATAAGTCCAACCCAACCTCACACCACGCACCTGTGCCCAAGCCTAGCCCGCCCGAATGGACAGATGGACAACATGCATGTGTATTTGTTTTGGGTCCAATAGGTGTAGCCCACTTTGCCCATAACCTCCTCTTCTACAAAACTTGAGTGCCCCTTGGGGCCTATTCCAAGTTCCAAACCCAAATCTTATAAACCCACACCAAGTGTGCCTACCAAAGCAATGTGGGGACAAACCTTAATTACAACCTTTATGGAAATTACACCAAAAATACCATTTCCATGAAGCTCACTTTAGCTTTAATTTCTCGTTCACCTGATAATGGTTTTGAGCAACCAAATATACTACATGAATCACAACGCGACATAGAACATGTTACCACCAATACCTGCTATAACCGGTATTTAGGGACCTAGTTAAATTATAGTCCAAAGTTAACAAAAAATTCTATTTTTGTAAAAAAATTTCTCAACCATTCTAACATTCGAGAAAGTGACACCCAGTAACTAACTAAACTTTGTGTTTGTTTAAAAAAAAAATACAAATACAAATGAATTCAATAGAATTAATACCCAGTTCCGAAAATTGGATTTTAGATTAATAAAAAAAAAATACATATCACAAACAAAAAAAGAGAAAATTGGTGATAGATCCAATCTAAGGTCTTGTTTGGGAATATGTTAATTTAGTAATTTATTGATTTTTTTATAAAAAGATGTGTAGAAAAGTAAAGAGATTGATGTGACAACTTATAGTGACTTTTTGACTTTTTAGCTAAAATATATAATCCCCAAACGAGGCCTAAAGAGAGTGTAAGACATTAGGTACAGTGAATATTTTTTGCTAGTCAGAAATTCACGCTTTGTGAAATAGTTTGGTGAAAAGTCCTAGGAGACATTTTGGTAGAGTTTTAGAATTATGATTTGAAAATAGAGTTGTATTTTGAGTTTGTGAGTTTTGAATTATGATTGAAGTGAGGTAAATTTGTTTGATTATGAGTTTTGAAGAGAGTTTTGAAAAGAGTTTTAAATTGAGTTTGAAATTTTTGATGTGACATATAATATTTGATTCAAGAACTTACAACTCATAACCAAACACACAACTCAAAATTCTATTCAAAGCTCATAAAAAAAATTATAAATTCCAAAAATATTTTTTATTTAAAATATAAAAATAACAAGTGCTAAAAAATAATAAATAAATAAATAAATAAAAAATAAAAAAACACTGTTCCTGTCAATCGGTCGGACGTCCGAAGGGATAACTGGGTAGACAAGTTTTCAAATGTGGGTGTGGAAATGATTTTTGAAAACTAAAACCAAATGTGACATTCTAATCAATGGGTGGAAAGTTCATTATAAAGCCTCACCAAACACAACCTTTGTTTCTAATTTTTTCCCCTGACTTTTTTTATCTGTTTGACTTTTCATTGACTATCTGTTTAAATTTATATATATATGTTCAAATTTTTTATCTATCTGTTCAAATTTTTTTCCTAGATTTTATTTATTTGTTCAATTTTATATCTATCTGTTCAATTTTTTTCTTAAATTCTATCTATCTATTCAATTTTTTTTTCTATCTATTGAAAATCTGTGTTAACTTTTTTGTTTATCTGTTACAATCATCATCATTAACATCAATTTTTTTCCAGATGTGTCTCATATATACACACTCACAAATTTGGCAAGTTGGATTTTAACATTTTTTTTGCTAAAATTCACAAAAAGACAAAATAGGCTAAAATGGTTAATAAGACAAAATGGCACATCAAATCCATAATCATTCTCTTTTTTTCTCACAAATATCACATTCAATTACCAAAAAAAAAAAAAATCAACTATCTTCCAAAATACAAAAAATTTAACCTACTAAAATAATCAAAAACTATAATATTTTAGTAATTTTTCAAACACACACGATCTCTTGCACAGTTATGAGGTCTCAATGTCCCAAAGAATACAAAGAATATGATTAGAAAAAAAAAAAAAAAAAAAAAAAAACAAAACAAAAGCTTGGATACTTTATTGAGAAAGCGAGAGAAAGCAGATTCTTGGTCCATATAGTGATAAAGTTACATTATTTGATACACACAATCATCTATATATACCAATACATACCTCTCCTCTAAATTTAAACTTCCAAAGCCCAGTTGATTTAATTTCTGACTTTGTTAGTCAAAAACGCCAAGGCTTTTGGATTGTTATAAAGCTCTACAACTTTCTTACCTAATCCTAGTTTCTTGGTAAGCTCTTTGATTTCTCTGTTAATACATGTGCTTGTCTGTAACTGTAAATATGTATGTAGAGAAACAATGTTTGGTCCAATCTAGTCAATTTTTTAATATGGTTAGTGTTAGAATTGGTTGTGCTTTTATTTTCTTCGCTTTCACTTTTTAATTTTCATTTTTCATCTTTTCATAAACAAAATAATGTAAAGTCTTAAAAAATCCATTATTTTCATATCATTCTATTTTTAAAAATTCGAAAACAACTCTATAATGTTTGCTAAGTTTAAATTTTGGAAATAATTTGCTAAAAAAGTGAAACCAAACATCATTTTCTGTCCTCAGGTCAGGTTAAACGCCTTTGCATAGCTTATCTAATGGCGGTTAAGACAAATGGGTTCACTATACCAGAAGAATTGATAAAGCTACTATTATCACTGGCCTCAAATTGGGGGGACATGATTGATTCAAACACCTTGAAAGTGGTTCACCTAAGTGGTGCTATGACTAATGAAGTTTACAGGATAAGCTGGCCTACAAAGATGGCAAATGATTCCAGAACAGTTTTGGTTCGAATTTATGGTGAAGGAGCTGACCGATTCTTCAACCGGAATGATGAAATTCGGACGTTTGAGTGTTTGTCGAGGCACGGCCAGGGTCCTCACCTTCTTGGCCAGTTCCCAGAGGGCCGGGTCGAGGAGTTCATTCATGCTAGGGTATGATGAAACTCTGATCACTAAAATATATTATCTTATTTCCATTTAAATTTATTTCATTTTTGTGTCTGCTCAGTATTCTATTTTTATTTTTTGGAAACTAAGAAAACTGTTTTGGAAAACTGTTTTTAAATGATCTGCTAATCTGGAACTCCCAGTGGATTTAGGATAAACTCTCTAAGAGTCTTATCTTTACCCAAACTGAAGTCTTCTCCCAATCTAGGACTTTTGTCCTTATCCAAGTTGAGTTCCCTCTTCATTCTAAGACTCTTGCCCCTTATCCGCTTATCTCGGATTCCGATATCTTCGGAGGAAACCTCGGCCTAGCCGAGATGACCTCGGCACAACGACCAAGACACGTGGCACCTCGGCTGACACGTCGGCGTCACCTTGCCACGTGTTGGTACTCAGAAAATATATCCCCACAGGTGTTATGTTACGTTACGTTTATGTAAATGTCACGTCACGTTACGTTTATGTAAAATCTTATGGAATACATTTCTATCTAAATAGGACTTGAGACTCTATAAGAAATTACACAGGACTTAGCCTACTATAAGTGTCTGAAAAAGGACTTATAAATAAGTCTCCCAAAAATTATTAACCTCAAATTTTATAACAAAATCAATCTTGAATTTTTAATTGTATTAATTTAAATTTATTTTTAATCTAAATTATCCATCTATTTTTATTAATTAAAATTTTTAAAATATATATATTTTAACTATTTTTTAGTTCTCACCCTATTGCGATTGTAAAAAAATTTCCACTGTTTTGTAATTGTCATTTTGTTGGTGCCTACATTCCATTTATTTTTAATCTTATTTTTAACATTAACAAAATTAAATGATTGATATGAAAATATTTAATTTTCCGAATCATAAAGGAGAAATAAAAGTTGACATAAGCTGTGTGAGAAAACCCTGATCTGATCTGATTAGAAAAAAACATGCACAATGATGCAACTGATATACATTACCACCCATCCCCCTCCCAGAAAACTGAAAAACCCAAAAAAAAAAAAAAGAAAAAAAAAGGAGAGAAAAGAAAAGAACAATGACATCTCAATAATGCAATTGCAATTGCAATTACATTATAACTTGACGAAATTAGATTATAAAATGACGAATATTTTCTTAATTCATAATGTTACTTTTTTTTGGAGATAACAAACTTTTACATCAAATGAATATTCAGAAACAATTTGACATTTTGTAAAAGTTTACAATCTCCTTTTCCAATGGATTTTCATCACCATGCGTGTCACCAGAAATACCATAATTTACTTCTGGTGTAGCACAACAAATCCCATATTTCTCATATTCAAATTGGGACCTGCTGTAGATTTCCTCACTGTCAAGTGAACATCTTCATTTTCCATCCGATTCCTCCTTGCTTGGTGGCCAGGTTTGCATGTCAAGTTTCTGTTTCAAAGATCACTATTCAGTCTTCAATTATTAATTCAGAAAAATAAATAAATGAAGATAGAGCAGATTGATACATTTCTAATATAGCCATCAAAGTATCCAATTCAAAAAACCAAATCTATTCAAGGTTGTCTTCAAGTAACAAGAATATACGCCACAGCTCACCTGTGGTCTATTTCAAAATATTGAAGAATTTTCCCTGATGTAGCCTAGAAATGATAAAGCATTACTGAGAAATTAATTATGATACTGAAGGCACGTCATGTCATGACCATTGTTCTATTCTGGGATGCATTAAACACCAAACAAAATTAGTCTGCTTTTCATGTCACTAATTTAAACAGGACATACCATAGTATCTACAATAAATATTGGCACTTCCAAGATAAAGAATAACGATCTTTATAACACTTACCTATGACAAAATCCGATTTTGTACTTGGTTTCGCAAAAGTGGGTATGTGCCTTAAAATGCCATGAACTCGGGATGATATAAATTCCTCTTGAGCAAAATCCATGAAGTGGGATCAATTATTGTTAGATAGAATAAAACCCCACAAAATTGTATCATTTAGTCCTTCCTGATTGCACCAGGGTTTATGGCAAGTTCAAGTTCTAATTTTCAAATAGAACGCTTATCTGATCCAATAGGAGATTCATATGTAGGACAAAAATAGAATGCATTCGCATACTTAAGGTATAACTAGACTAATCAATCTTGGAAACCCAAATTTTAGGCCAATATGGCAACTCAGTAACTTGGTTACAGAAAAATCACGGCACTGCTTAATTTTGTCAAGTTCTTTATGCAAGAGAAACATTGTTCACAATGTCACATCACATTGCTTGTCGTTAACAAACTAAGATTCATCTAAAAACATAAAGGGGAAAAGAGAGAATAATGCTATATGCACCAATTAGTGCACTAACTAGTGTACCAAGTGATGATGTGACATAATTTAAGAGGTTTTTAGTATTTATAATGTGATTAATGAAGCGGGTCAATAATAATGTCATAACTAGTGTTGGTACGCTAGTTAGTACACTAATTGGTGCATGTTACACCACCGAAAGAGAAAACAAAAGAGTGGACAATTTGCTAGTGGGTTTATAACTAATGCACCAGATCCCAGAAGAGTGCGTGCGTGCGCGCGTGTGTGTGTGTGTGTGAGAGAGAGAGAGAGAGAGAGGTTCTGATTTCAAAGAACAACAAATGGTCTACTTCGTATCCTTAGATAGAATAATTAACACCAAACCAGGAAACATGCCCCAATAATATAATAAACATGTTTTATTTGAGGGAAGCCATTAGGATTTGTTTAAAATATATACTATGTATCACACAATCTAAAATTGAAATTGTGGAGTAATCATTAGTCCTATCAAATTTGTAATCACTGTGTTGTTGAAGTTTAGAAGTTCATTACCTCATTCAATAAGGAACAGCTCCCTCGTTCAAACTCACGTATTGCTTCCTCTGTCATCCCAAACCATTCATCTATCCAAATGAAACAATTATGGTGACTTTCAAGAAAAAGTGCCCTTTCACCCTATGAGAAAGTACAAAACAATATCAGAAAGGTTTTTCCATTTTCCATTTACTTATCCAAAACAAAGCATAATCACATATATATACTCCACCCAAAACGTGGGAAATAAAACAGTGAACAACTAAAGCTGATGTTTCTTATTTTGTGTTAGTTTATTGCGAATAGGACTCAACAACTATAGAATCTGAGAGTTTTTGAAATGTTGATGTACTTTAGAGGAGTCATATTTTTCATTCAAGTAATATATAATGGATTATTGGAATACACAGCTATATTTTTAGTAAATACATGGATATTTGCTATTACAACAGAGATTCTGCATTGAAGTCAAATCCCTAGATTTACTTTAAGTCCAAGAGATAATACCGCAAGCAGAGTTTGTTCAAGTCTATTACCAAAGCCCCAATATGGAGCATCTATTATCACCAGCTTGTACGCCGTCATAACTGGATTATGCTGATCCTGAAAGTATCATCAACATAAAAGGTCTAAATAAATCTCAAATTCATTTTTTGTATTTGATAAGTAATAAATCTCAAGTCAAATTTGTGTGATGATTAAAGAGAACGTAAATCAGAGGGTGAATCTCTGCCAGTAAAGGAACATTCAGTATATCTGCAATCCGCTTATCTGCAATTATGCAATGCAAGTGCAACTCACGTGGGTTAAATAAGGTATGTTTATATACAACCTTTATTACATGGTTCAGTGATTAAATGTTGTTTAATTATTTTCTTGTTCAAGCCTCTCTTATGATGGATTAGGAGGTACAGGGATTGCAATTAGAAAATAGTGCTTCATAGAGAAGGGAAAGCAGGTGAACTAATGAAAGCAACTCCAATGGACGTTGCTAAAATGGCCATGCCAAAGCCATTTTTTGACTTCCTACAGTGTCAAAATGCCAATTTTTTAATTGGCATTTATACTCTAATTGTGTAAATGACATTTTTTGGCACAACCACCATTACCTCTTTTCAACCACCATTCTTTATTCTAATCTATAAATAATGGCGGTTGAAAGAATGGTGGTTGGAAAAAGAGAATGGTAATTGTGTCAAAAAAAATGACATTTGCACCATTTGATCATGAATGTTTGCTACAGTGTCAAAATGCCAATTTTTTTGGCATTTATGCTCCAATTAAGCATGTCATTTATTGGCACAACTACCTTACCACTTTCTAACCACCATTCTTTATTCTAATTTATAAAGAATGATGGTTGGAGAATGGTAGTTGGAAAGAAAATGACAATTGTGCCCAAAAAATGGAATTGCAACATTTGATTAGGAATGCCAAAAGATGGCTTTTGCATGCCATTTAGCAACTTCCATTGGACATGCTTCGATGATGTGGCAAGATTGACAATTGCCAACTTTTGTGCCAAAACTGGCTCAAGATTTAAGAGTTAGCATTGCCAAATTTTGGTAGGAGATATGGCAGCAATGGTTATCAAAATTACAATCCAGATTGTAGGATAGTACGATCCTGCAATCCTAAATTGTCAAAAAGAGAACAAAGAGACAGAAAAGAAGAATAGTGAATGGACTATCCAGAACCTGCTTCGCTGCCGTCAAACGGTCCAAATCGTTGTAGAATAGATGTTATAGCAGGATCACAAGTGGATCGCGTGGGATCGTAGGTAGGATCATAAGTAGTATCGGTGGACTTGTGACTTTTCACTTTATTTTTTTTTATGCATCATCCTTATTTGTATTTTTATCTTATTTTTAATGGAATGTAAAATCCCTTGATTCAATCCCACAATTCAATCCACGAGACCCTTTCCCTTTCAATAATATTACTATTTTAGCTACCATATTAATTGTGATCCAACACTATTCCAACTACCTTATTTATTGTGGTCAGCCACCACATGTTTCACAACACTCCTCCTTGGATGACCACACACAAAACCCAATCACAAACAAGGTACGCATTTAACTATGGTGGAACATCTAGCTCTTAGCGATTTGTGAAGCAAATATTGAATGCTACTTCTTCAAACCACTCTGAAATATTTGCAATCCATGAAGCCAACAGAGAATTTATTTGGTTAATATCTATAATATAACATATTCGGAAAAAGTGTGCAATGTCTGCACACAAAGATCTCCCAACAATACTGTTTAAAAATAATGTTGCATGTATCACACAAATCAAAGAAGGCTATATCAATGGTGATCGAACTAAGCATATTTTTTCAAAGTTCTTTAATACTCATAAACTCTAGAAGAGCAGAGATATTAATGTTCTATAAATACAGTAAGTAAAAATTTAACAAATTTATTCACAAAAATACTACCTCTGGCAACATTCAAGAAGCAGGTACATCTCATTAGAATGCATAGACTCAAAAATCAATTATGCAACATGAGGGGGAGTTAATAGATTAAAGATTATACTCCTTTTTCTTTGACTAAGGTTTTTTTTCCATGGGATTTTCCTTAGCAAGGTTTTAACGAAGCAATCTAGACATATCCAAGATCACTCCATGGAGCACAAAAATAATGTACTTTTTTTCCTTCGCCTAAGGTTTTTGTCCCACTGGATTTTTCTTTGACAAGATTTGAACCAGGCATATTTTTTGTGTATGTTCATCCAAGGGGGAGTGTTGTGAAACATGTGATGGCTGACCACAATAAATAAGGTGGATAAAATAATGTTGGCCACAATTAATATAATAGTTGAAATAGTAGTATCATTTATTGCACCTTTACTTTTCCAAATATAAAATTAGAAGCGTTCTTCCCCTTCGGACACAATTCTGTAAGGAGATGAAAAGAAAAGAAGAAAAAGAAAGATGGAAAAGAGATAGCAGGGACCAAAGAAAGGGTAAAAATTATATTAAAATGTATAGTTAAATTATTAAATAATGACATAACTAGATCCTGAAGATCTATATTTAAGGTTCTTAAAGAACCAAATAAGAATTGATGAAGAACTTATTTTTTTTCTATGTTTGCTTTACAGTTTATTGCTTTATTTGCTTTTAAGAACATTTCCGGTGTTTGATGATAAAGTCAAAATTTGGGATGCTATAGTGCCAAAACACTATAATTTGGCAATATTGCTCTAATGGCGCAAATATCATTTCTTCTATTTTTCTCCAAATATGACGAATGAAACGCTATTTGTGAGTCCTATCATAAGAAAGGTAGAGAGATAGAGCATTGCCAAAGTTTGGCAATGCTATAATTTGGCAAGAGGAATAGCAAACCATTAGAGGTGATTTTTGGAGAAGTCTTGCCAAATTTTGACTTTAGCTAATGTTTTAGCACACCACTGGACATGTTCATCTTCAATGGTTAGTGCCAAAATGGTAATGCCAAAGCCAAATTGGCATGCTACAGTGCCAAAAAATGTTATAATTTGACAATGTTGCCCTAATGGTACAAATGCCATTTCTTCTCATTTTTTTTTTTTTTGCAAAAAATTCTAATGTAAGTACCATTTGTGGGCCCCACCATGATTCATGAGAGAGATAGAAGAGCTCTTGCCAAACTTTTTGCTAAAATTGGCATAAAGTTTGGCATTGCTATAATTAGGCATGGAAGATTGCAGCCCATTGGAGATTGAATTTGGAAGAGTTGTTGACATTTGGACATGAAGGCTTTTCAACCGCTTCCCCTTGAGAGTTCACATCATCTACACGTTTAAGCGGTGCAGTACTTTGTGACCCACTCTCGCTCTTGCTCTTCTCCACAAAGCAAAGAGCGAGTTGCAACTTCTATAGCACACCATTGGAAAGCAAGCTCACAAGTGAAGGAAGGAAGGAGGAGGTAGGCCTTGCTACAGAAAGAAAACTTGTCCTAACCCTTGGTTCTATGAAATATGAATGCATGAGGGAAAGGAAAGATCTTAAGAAAGTAAGCCATTCCCAAGCATTGTCTTTTCCCTTCCCATGTTACAAATCAAACTCAGTATAATGACAAAACTTCTGCAATAGAAACAAAGGAGGAACATGCAAGTTGATAGCGAAATCTCGGGGATCCCTTAAAGTAGAAAACTTCAAGAGAGCCCAATGAGAATTCTCTGCATTCAAGAAAAAAAGGGGTGTCGGTTTTATTTTAATTTTTTTTCCTTTTGGGAGAGTGAGGAGGTGGAGGAGAGAGCAGTTCTAGAGTATAGGATGGACTCTCCCCACCATAAAGAATTTCGTTGGAGTCCCATCGTTGTTGAAGGAAGACGATTCTTATCATATTAAATTTTTAGTTTCTCTTTTCTTGGTTTTATTCTCCTAATCATAACTGAATCAGATTGAGAAAAAGAAAAGGCAATGTCAATGTCAATAACTTGACCCGAGGGAGCATATTTTCACTAATGATTCAAAATGGGAAAATGTACAACCAAGTTACGGGCCAGTTCTTAACCACACTAAAAGAAGTCTTTTAAATTAAGAAACTTTTTTCGGGTGGACAGTGTACAAAGACCCTCGAGCTTGCACCAACAACTATGATAGGCTATGAAGCACGGACACGACACGGACACGCAAATTTTCAAAAAATGAGGGACACGACACGCTGGGACACGTTCAATATATATAATTAATTTTATTTATTATATGTCATAAAATTATAAAAAAATCATTAAAAGGTAATAAAATATACAAAACAACACTATTAAAATTGGTTCTTATAATAAAATTAACAAACATACATTATTAAAATTAATAAAACTAATCCAAAAAAAAAAATAGAGGCACAGTTGAGAGAAAAAAGAAAATAGAAAACAAATAAATAAATAAGATAGGGAGAGAGGGATCAGTATATATAAAAGAAAAAATAACTCATTAACTCATTATATAAAATAAAAAAATAAAAGAAAAGAAATCAGACAGGAGAGGGTGAGAAAGGGTGCGAGAGAGAGAGAGAGCGACTGAGAAGATTGAAAAACAGGAAGAACGAAGAAGAAGAAGATCGATGAAGAAGGATGAAGAAGAGCAGTTTGTACATTAACGACGAGCGACGACGAGACACGAGTGATGATCGACGATCGACGAAGAGACACGAGTGACGACCGACGAGGAGCAGAGACGACCGACGAGCAACCAGGTCCTCTCTTTCTCTCCCTTTCTCGTCTGTTCTCCCTTAGATTCTGTGCTAATCAAATTAGGCCAGATATTTTTGTTTTACTTATTTACAAATCGCCCCCAAAAAAGTTTTGTAAATTGTGAAATTACTCCCGAACGTGTCCTGAAAGTGTCTATAAGGTGTCCGGAACGTGTCCGGATGTAAAAAAATTTTAAAAAAAAGGGGACACTCTCTGCTGCGTGTCGGACACGTGTCCACCGCGTGTCCGACGCGTGTCCGTGTACGACATGTGTCCGACACTGGTACGGAGCCCTCAGAGAGGTGTCCGTGCTTCATAGATGATAGGGGTTTTAGGAGTCAATCAATAATTTGAGCACTCACCTGTCAAGCTGAAGGTTCTTCAGAGAGCAATAGAGTTGAAGACTTCTACTACATGACCAATACAGCATGCAGATAAGGATAGAGGGAGGGGGGAAAATAGTACTTGACACCAGATTCTTGAAGATAATGTAAAACGATCCACATTATTCAAGAAATTAAATTCAGCAATAACCTTGCTGTTGCCTTCATGGTTTTTTCATAAATTTCTCCATGAATTGTATTCAAAGTAGAATGTTATAAATTGAATACGAGGTATGGAAGGTTCAGAAATAATTTGTTCCTTATCATTGCAAAAATATTTGGTTAAGCAATAAATAGCTGCAAATCTTCTAAAGTCTAAAAACATACTTCATCTAATCTAAACCATAATGTCAATTAAAACACCTGACAATGGGTTGCAGCTTTTGAAACAAATACAAGGATCATGCTTCAAAAAAATCATCCTAAAATTATTTTAGGCCTAGAGCAGAATTCCCCCAAGTTGCATCGTTAATAATCAATGTAAAGCTATCAGGAAAACACTACCAACGTATTTAGTTATGATAAGAAGACATGAAAGTTTCCATAAAAATTCTGCAAATAGCTAGATCAATAATGTAATTACTAACTAGAGTACTATCAAATTAATGGAAGGACAACCTGCCATCCCTGTGAGAGTGGACCACGACCAGTCTTTTCTGATTTGAATTTGGACAGATTTACATTGCTAGTTCCAATTATGTAACTCCAACAGTCCCTTGCTGATGAAGCAATGTCAATAACTTCTACCTCCCTAGCTGCTAGTTGTTCTTTGCAAAGACCATGAACCTAAAAGGAGTTGAAATTCTCCATTAGAGGTTAGAAAAAAAATAAAAATAAAAAATTAATAAGTTGAAATTGACATAAGATTCGATCTCGAACAAGTTTTGAACGAGAGCTGAACGCAATCAAATTCAAATAGTTTAATTTTTTTATAGTGTATATAAACTTACCAAGTAAAGTAATAAGTTGTACAAGAAAGTAAATTTTTCTTTGAACATCAGGAAACCGTAGTGCCTCATTTTCATCTCATCTCACAACAAATGAACAATTGACAAAACAATAAGAATGATTGTAGGAAAATTGGAAACATGTATGTATGAAAAAACAATAATGTGCTATATAGGACAACATGAATACAAATGTTAATACAAAAAAAGTAAAACTTTATACAGGAGGCTTTACCATGATTCTTGATTAATTCATTTTGTTACTATGAAAATGTGAAAGTACCTAAAACAGTATATAACATTTAAAGAGTAACCAAAAATATAAGAGCAATGGTAGAGGGCCCAAATTCTGTGGCTCAAATGTGGCTCAAATGGCCAAAACGACGTCGTTTTGAGTACAAAACAACATCAAAATGGCCAAAACGACGTCGTTTTGGCCATTTGAGCCACATTTGAGCCACAGAATTTGGGCCCTCTACCATTGCTCTTATATTTTTGGTTACTCTTTAAATGTTATATACTGTTTTAGGTACTTTCACATTTTCATAGTAACAAAATGAATTAATCAAGAATCATGGTAAAGCCTCCTGTATAAAGTTTTACTTTTTTTGTATTAACATTTGTATTCATGTTGTCCTATATAGCACATTATTGTTTTTTCATACATACATGTTTCCAATTTTCCTACAATCATTCTTATTGTTTTGTCAATTGTTCATTTGTTGTGAGATGAGATGAAAATGAGGCACTACGGTTTCCTGATGTTCAAAGAAAAATTTACTTTCTTGTACAACTTATTACTTTACTTGGTAAGTTTATATACACTATAAAAAAATTAAACTATTTGAATTTGATTGCGTTCAGCTCTCGTTCAAAACTTGTTCGAGATCGAATCTTATGTCAATTTCAACTTATTAATTTTTTATTTTTATTTTTTTTCTAACCTCTAATGGAGAATTTCAACTCCTAGGTTCATGGTCTTTGCAAGTAGAAGTTATTGACATTGCTTCATCAGCAAGGGACTGTTGGAGTTACATAATTGGAGCCATAGTTGTCAAATTGGGATTCGTATCGTGAATCGAAATGGCCTCGTACCGAATTGCGAATCGAATCGAATCGTGAATCGTGAAGGTTCGGTCACTTTTTCTAAATTACTTAAAAAACATATATCTACATATTTAGATATTATATTTAGATATTAAATATATCTTATGAATGTGAAATATTTAGACTTAAATCAATGAAAATATTATTTTGAATAATAATCACGTAGTTTAATAGGTAAGAATTTAACAAAGGTTCTTATGTAAGATCACCATCTTACTGTTTTTTTTTTTTTTTTAGTTTGGCAACTACATATTTTAGTTAAAAGAATCAAAAGTTATTATAAGTTGTCATATCTGTATTTTTATTTTTCTACATATTTTTTATAAAAAATTAAAAAATACATTTATTTATAACATCCAAACCAAAATTTAATGAATGTATTGGCATTTCACTTGGGTCATGTTTGTTTGGGTGGACATGAGCTTGAAATTGGACTAATAGTCCAATAAAATTATTAATCCGATATTTGGTTAAACAATTGAAGTACGGACTAATTATTTTAAACTTGACTATTAGTTAAGATAAATCCAATGGATTCGTAATGACTATTAATCATGAGAATGCTAATCCAGTCCACCCAAACAAACATGACCCAAGAATTATAGAGAAAGGTCGGCAAAAAAGCACCCTCGACAAGCTATCGTGAAGGATTTGAAAAGGCTAGGCGGGATCCAGACTGGACCAGAGGGTGGGGCAACGTTAGCGAAGGAAAGGCAGACGGGCATGGCATGGCATGGCTTGGTGTATTAGCTGAAGGAACCAACCAGTCCTAACATGACTTGAGGGCGAAGGATTTGGGAGTTCTGTTAAAGTTGCCATGTGACAAAGCAATTTTAGCCATTCAATTGTGGTTCTCACATGAATTAAATTAACAAAACAAAAAAACTAGGTCCATAAGGGATATGCGTGCTATAAATTAACGTGATAAAATGTGAGATTTATGAGTAAAATAAATTTGAACGATTGATTTTTATTTTTAAATAGATGATTTTGAATTTACAGGCTCGTTAAAAATCTAAAATGATCCTTTTGATTTTGATCTTTAAATAGTACTGAATCTGAAAATTTAGTTTTACATTGGTGTTTTATACTCTTGTTTTCATAAATATGTTTATTTGTATATAATCATGTCTTGATATTATATTACATGTGTCATGGTTATATACCTTTTATTTTATTTCTTTGTTGATACTCATATTTATGCAAATTTATTTTTTTTATTTGTTTATATTAACTAACTTAAAATATTAATCTAAATGGAAAACTCAATAGGGTGGCTAATGGGGTTTCAATCACATGAGTATTGTTATGAGATAAAGTTATGTTCAAATTGAATTGATTAGCGGGATGTGTTCCCTTTTGAAAGTTAAAATTTTGCGCAAGTGGTTGTTCCGGAACCCTTAAACGGAGCGGTTGTATTCAGACCCTAGGTGGTTTGGTGTGAGGAGGGAATGAGTAAGATCCTATTTTACCATCTTTTTTGAAGTCATCGGTTGGCACTACGTGGTATGTAATCATTAGTAGACATCCGAGGGTAAGGTCTGCAAAGCAACAAAAAAGATAGCATACCGAATAATTCGCGTATGATTCTTGTGGTTAGGATGATGAAATCTTTTTAGGGGATTTCCAGACTGCTAGCAACTAACCTTGTAACCCTTGTTATTTATTTGAATATCATGTTTCTTTCACCTATTGTTGTAATTGCAATTGTGTAGTGTATTAGATAGGGAAAAAAGAACAAGGTGTGTATGCATTTACTAGGCATTCAAAACTTATGGCGCTTCATGCCAGGAACCGAAGAGGATTTTGCAGCAAAAAACAACGAGTCAGAAACTTTCAAAAACTTTTGGTTGTCCTAGAGAAGTTAGAAATTTTTTTGCGTTTTGTAAAGTCCATCTGAAATTTTATTTTTGGATGTAATATTGATGGAACTATCTTTTGTAACTAAGGATATTTTGTATCTATTTTCTTATTATTATATACTTGTCTTTTATAGACCAATATAGCTCCCTACGTTGCTTATGAGATCTTGTGTCAATGTCTTTTAAGATCTGTCAAAATGGTGGCGTGCTGCCTAAGAAAGCTAGACTTAGAAGGGAGGCTAATTTGACTCCTCCGGCGATCTAGGATCTTACTTGGTTATTGATCATTATAGCGATCCCGGTTTTTACCCGACTCTTGTGATGTTCCGGGCTCGGATTTAATGTTTTCATATTGTTGTCTATCTCTTTCTTTCCTTATATACCTTTGAAATTGGTCTTTGGGTTGTTGTGGTTGTGTTTGGACAAGGTTAGTTACTTAGTTTTCTTTGTGTTGCCCAGATTTTTAGCCTTACGCTCGAGTGGTCATTCTTGCGCTCAAGCGGGTTATATACATTTTGGTCATCCGCTCGAGAGGCCTTTCTTACTCTCGAACGGGAGTTGCAAAGTCTTAGTACTCCGCACTTCTGCAAAAGTGCTACAGGAATGTTTTTCACGCTCGAGCAGCGTTTCCTACGCTCGAGCGGGTGTGCGCTCGAGTGTCCCTTCTTGAGCTTGAGCGGTTGGTCTGTCGTCTACAAAAGTTCTAGAGGTGTGTATTCTATGCTCAAGTGGGCCTCTTCCCACGCTCAAACGGAACAAATCTTTGTGTTTGACGCTCAAGCGTAAAACCTTTCGCTCGAGCAAATTGCACGTATATCAGATCGCAAAAAGCACTTTTTACATCACTTTTTCATATCTTTTCAGCCAAAACCCTAAAGTTGAAAGCCTCTCTCTCTAAAATACTCTTTCTATATATATTTTGGCCTAGATCCTTTGATCTCCCCACCCTACTCCCTTTGATAAAAAGGTGGAGCTTCTTAAGATCTTCTCTTTGAACCGATTAGAGTTGGATTTCGGAACTTTTAGGGTTTCACTCTTGCTTGGCTCATCTTCTCTCTTTGAGGTAGGGATATTCTATACTTTAGTATGAGTTTTAACTTAATTATTTGTGGTTATGTATAAATGGTGGAAATCTTGGGAGTTTTTGGGTAAACTTAGGGTTTGTTCTCAAATTAAAAGAGGGGTTTCTATATTGTGTTCCATAGATGATTATGAGGTTTTGGATATGAGGATATCTTGTGTTAAAATTGTGAATTTTAGCCTTTGGAGTAATATTTGAACAAGAGAGGAGATTTACCCTAAATGTGTTTTGAATATTATTTTGTATAAATAGTGAAATTGATGTGAGAAAGGTAAAATTGGGAAAAGGTGTAAAGGAATGGTGTAGTTGGATTTGTTTAATCACTCATTCATAGAAAATTTGATAAATTATCTGTTATAAAGTTTGTAAATCTGTTTAGAAATATTTGTATTGGGCTATTGGTGGAGGATAACTATGATTGTTGTAGAAATTGCATGATGATTAGGTGAATTGAAACTAATCATTTAAGTTTGTCATTGAATATAACAGTATAATTAAGGCATTGAATATGTGTTATGGAAAGTCATTATATATGACGATGAATTTAAATACATTGTATATGTATAATGTTTTAGGAGAAGAAAAATGGATGTACTCCATTGTTTGGCAGGAGATAGAAGATAGACTCCATTGAGAATTAAATTGGCTGGAGTGTCTAGGGTGAAAGTCCCGAAATCTTGTGAATACATGGGTTTCGATCCCGCGGATGAAATTTCCGTAAAATAGCAAGGTTGGAGTGTTTGTATGATGGTTATGTGGATAGAGAACCACTAAGTTGTAGTCTCAGTTAGGTCATTTGGAAAATTATATATATTTGCTA